GTCCCTTACGTTAGCCAATTAGTTATTTGAACCAAAAGCGCAATCTTTTTCCTTACTTTAACGGTGAAGGCCCAAACCTTCACCACCATTCTAAACATACTGGCATTGAGTTTCCTTATTACTTATCAATGCCTACATCTAACCAAACCTTAAGGGTCAGGGTTAACTAAGTCATACGTGTCATTTTGCTGATATAGGTCATTTTTAAAAGCAAGGGTTGGATAGTCTGTGAACAGTTTTCATTGGAACTACTTTGTATCAGAAAAATAAATCCTGTGAAAACAGAGTGCTGCGGGTTAAACAGTGCAATGGGAACACTATTTCTGGAAAGAGATGATGCTCATGCATTTGTTTAAGAATATAACTTCAACTCTCTGAGCACCATAAAGTTCATTATATTCACCTCCTGTTCTATTAGGGTAGCATCAACAATCTCAGAGATGGATATCCTAAAAGCTTGGCAAATAAAACCCAAACTGTTAGCAAGAGGTAAGAGGACATGGAGAATTAGGTGAACTGTCCCTTTTTAAAAACGGATTCTATTCAAACCAAATTCATCATTCCTTCTCTGACCTGCTGCCCAGCAAAGACTCCCTGATAGACGGGAGGGGGTTTAATAACTTGTTTCCTGCTACAGCTCATTTAGGACATCACAAAAACGATGGTGCCGTGGGAGACACGGGATGATTAGGGTCTGTATCATCATCTTTGGCAGTCAGAAGATATTTGGAAAAAATCTGGGACCCAAATCTGTCTTCCTGGCTGAAAATCCTCACTGGAAGCAATAATTGTTAGATAGATCTTTGATGGTGCAGCCGTTGACGTCAGCACCTTGTGTGTGGGCAGTGAAAGTGCAGCTCTCCAGCCCACAGTTGTAACATCCAGTGTGACGTTCACTTTGTAGAGACTCCAGATCCGGCCCCCTCTTAGTCTAAAAAGCTTTCATGATGAGTGGCGTTATTATAATGCAGTCTTTAAAGCTCATTGAGTCAAGTGATTTATTGGTAGTGAATAGGCCTCCATAGGTTTGAATGCATTTTGTTATCAAACGTATACTTATGTGTCAGTTGTTCAGTGTGGAATAAAGAGCATTTTGGAATTTTTGAAGTTTGTATTGTATGCAGGTGCTTTGTTATAAACTGGGAGTAAATGGGCCTCTTTAAAAGACAAAAAAAGCTGCACTCATTAATATTGTTTTAATTAACAATGGATCAAAGAAATATGATTTATTGATGAACCCACAGAGAATTAACACCCAAATCTGCAATTTCTCTTCTCTCTACAGAGCGTTTTAGCATCTTTTTATCTCACCGTTTTGGTTTTAAAGCATTACTGTTTTGACTCACTGTCAAGTCAGGCAGCTGATTATTTAGAAAGAAAAAAAACTGTTATTAACCCACTCTACTATCTGCTGTATGTGTCAATATGCATCTGTATGATGACATTTTCGCCACAACAACTTTATTCGGTGATTCTTTATTCGGCCCAAACAAAGCAATAACCTGAGACAAAATGTAATTTGAAGGCCCCAAAGACAGAAGAACATGAGAGGGCACAATATTGCCCTAAACATCAGTCAGAGCAATACCCATGAGAACAAATCCACTTTCATTTCTTCAAAAACACAGTGATGAAGCAGGTTATGTGCGCACGGTCTCATAATGATAAACAGGCTTCGTAAAAGCCATCTCCAACACAATGATCACCCATGCAAAACCCCACAGCTGCCACTTAGAGCTAGGCCAATTTTAGCTGAGGGGAAGGAAGGGCAGGTTGGAGTGCAGAAGCCACGAGGGAGCCACCAAACAAACGAGCTTAAAGTTACACCACTACGCTTCTTTGTTTTGTGTGCAGTTCTCTGATCCCACACCCTAAAGGTAACAAAGAACGTTGCAACTTTGAGGCACGCACGCTTTCCAGACTACACTGTGCACTATTTTTTGTTCTCAGATTTCATGACCTCATGCTTGCTGGCTTTGGTGTTGAATTCCAAGCTGACGGTTATGTTTTTGAAATGTGCCTCAGGTGTGAGAGACATAAAGGAGTATGATGCATATTAAATCTGTTCCAGCAGTGATGACACCAAAAGGTTTGACTTATGCTTTAATGTCTGAAATGCAGGTGTGAACCCGGCATTTAGACAAGATGACTCAAAGACATGTCGGCATTTGTATCCTCGACTTTAAGCAGGCAGGAAGGGCTCATGTTTTTTTTTTTTGTGTTGTGAATAATGAGTCATGCATGAGCTTAAGAATATTTCATTGTTAGCATTATATCCTCAGGATTTCTATGGAGCCTTGCAGTGCTTTTTATAGAAACAAATGGGAGCTAACAGCCTGTTGACAAACTCTGTTTTCAGTTGTTACGAAGACGAAAAAACGATGACACACTTGAACTGACTTAAAAACTGATCTGTCAGCTTTGAGTTTTAGCATCACTGGCATGTGGGATGTGGTCAGCAGTAAGAACAAATTGCCCCAGACCTTGTAAGGTCAAGGGTCAAATGCTCAAGTGTGACCTGACACTACCCCACACAGACTGCCCCCCCCAGACCCCTAACACAGTGTTCACACTTTCGTATGACACTCTTCTTCTTTTAGAGATAAAGGGTTTCAGGGAGAACTCTCAGTTGTAAGTTACGTGACATTTTCACACAGGCTTTGAATGCCATGCTTCCATTTCAAGAATGCTCCAGATACTGTAAACTAAACTACAAGGTGAACATTTAAAGGACCATATGAGCGGTTTCTTTTTTTACGTTTCAGTTCCTTATTTACATCATGAGTACTTCACAAAGTTGGTAACCTTTTTTAAAATGCATGCTGTACAGTTTTAGGTCTTAGGATGTCATTAGTGTCCAAGAGTTCCCATTTTCATAAATCAATGAGCAGACTCTTGAAACCTGTTTCCAGACCTCTGATTCTCTGCACACAATGTTTCAAAGAGGTTTATTATTGTGCTTATTAATGGCTCCCATTTTGAAGATGGGTTTAAGAATGAGGACATCATTTTTTTGTGAACTCAGTCTGACCATCAGGCTCGTTGAAACTTGCCTTAATTGAGCAGTTAATTCACTGAACATCACGTCTGCATTAATTATTATCAAAGTTATTGTGGCATACTGTAGTGCTGTCAAATTATTCTTCAATTCAGCAGAGTTATCAAGATGACGTATCTTTAACTAAATTAACTGAGACTTTATATTGAGTGTGATGGATTACACAATTGAAATTTGCTTTAACAGTCTACTAACTGATTTTATAGAGATGAATGGAACTTAATGGCTTCCTGAAACTGAAAATGTCTTAAACACTGCAGCTCGGTCTCAAAAAATGGTTATCTGTGATTAAAGGTGTATGTGCCTTGTAGTAAATGAACTACGAAAAATCCAAAACAACTACATCACAGTCTAGTCACAAGTGATACTGAAGAACCACTCGACTCTGCAGCAGGTGTTAGTCGGTTGTTAGATGTTTGCGAACTCTGTGTTGCAGATGGAGCTGCTTTACCGCTCTCAAGTGGGCACTGGATGAAAATCCGTCACAGTGGAAAGAAAAGTGACAACCTTGGCATGGACACCCCTCGCTTCTCTGAACAACAGATTGCATCCCACATGGTCATTTGCAGGGAGATCCTGCCTCGGCTTTTTAACCGGCATCTGCTCTCTGTTCTCCTGTTTGATCCCCGGCACGGCGCGACACTTTTTCCATTATGTTACCAAACTGCGATATGGCAGCTATAACACAGCGTGGCCTCCTGGCATCAACGTCTACACTCCTAAAATCTCAAGTGCCACTTCACAGACGTGTGGCTAATTTGGAGAAGCGAATTCACAGAAGTCACAGAGCGGATCATGTTGCAAAAACACGCAGCCATGCGAGGCTTTTCTGTGGGCCAGTGGCTGGATTGAAGGGGGAAAAAAATCTGTGTCTGCTTTGAAGATGATTCCAAATGAAATCGGTGCCAGTTAAGGCTCCTTTGAAAATGGGTCTACAGTGTGTCACTGCCAATTGATTTGGGTGTGAGGGTGCAGCTTTCATATTTTGCTTTCAAATTTCAAGGACAGGGGTAAGAGATTGCACTCCAAATGTGCCACAATCAAACACATTTGTTTATTATAGGGCAGGAGATGTGAGCATATTAAATAAGGGAGACTCACAAATTTATTTAAGGCATTATAATGTGATGAAATTCACTGTGACTGCCAATTTCCCTCCCTTGAAAGAAAGCCTTCACAGCAGTAGGTTTCTCAGCAGCTGACTATTATTTTCTTTATCGTTTAATCTGTTGTTTATTTCGAGATTCATCAATTATTTGTTCTGTGTTTAAAATTTCTGTTTCCCAGAGTTCAAGGTGAGATCTTCAAATATCTTGTTTCGTTCAATCAACAGTCCAAAATCCAAAGATATTCAGTTTAAATTGATATTAAAAGCACCAAATCATCACAAAACAGTTGCTGGATGATGCTGTCGATCGATTAATCGACTATTCCATAATCAACCCAGCTCCAGTCCATTGCAACACAGGATTAAATATACTATGAATCTTAAAACTATTTATTTTAGGATCCATCTGACTAAGTATTCTTTGAGAGAAGAGGAGAAACTATCTTGTGCTCATTAAGCTAAAAACATCTGTCCCAGATGCGTGGACAGAGAGGAGGAGGAGGATATGTACACATGCCTCTGGTGCGCTCAAAGCTTTAAACTTACACAGATTAATGCGATTAAAAAAACAAAAAAACGCATGCACCCCCAACTGAAGCTAAACAACTAGAATATGAGCGACATCTGTCCAGACACATAATATGCAAAGAAAGCGCCATAAAATCTTTTATTGTTTTGAAAGTGTTTGTAATGAGGAATTAATTTATATTTTCTGTTGGCGCCAAGTTGCACATACAAAAATGCTACATGTGCAATATGAACATTATAAAGTAGAACCACATCCGTCAGTGCTGATTGCAATAGTAGAAGTACAGTAAATAGAACGGAACATACCAGTTCTTGCTTTAGTCGCCTCAGACACGCGTCCATGTTTTTGCATTCTGGTTTGGAGAGCTGTTGTTCCATTTTTTTAAATGCAAGAATTTCAGAAGAAAAGCTTCGCCAGTCGCCGCACGAGCATGACTATGAGAGCTTACTGCTGGGCAGAGGAATTAAAACAACGCTCTTGCGGAGAGCAGAAAACAATCTGCAATTGGAGATGCGCAAATCCTGCTGAGGAATGCGCGCACGGCTCGTGACTCGAATCATGTAATTAAAAAAAAAAAAAAAAACACAACTACTGATGACGAAAATGCATTTACTCCCAAAATGTTAATGAGGTCCTTCTTGTGGCTGCATCCAGAGACTCGGTCCGTGTGTGTGCGTGTCTCGGTGGCCGCTGCTTGGCTACTGTCAGCCTGCTGTATGTGTGTGTGTGTGTTGCTCAGCACGTTTTTCCCCCCCTCTGCTATTTCCCCATTGAAGAGTAGAGCTTACGTTGCCCATCCAATTTCCTCCAATGAGTGAGCCTCTCAGGACGGACTAAATCTCATTCAAACTAGGATCCGTTGTTTATTAAGGACGAGTAGATTTGTGCACTGCAGCTTGTAATGATTTCGCAGAAATATGAGACTAAAACATCTGGAAATATTTGAATCAAGGTTGAAAGAATTGATAGTGGGGCAACTGAAAGAGCATAAAAAAAAGTAAACATCTCTATCCCATAATACTGCCCGACCAGTAGAATAGATTCTGCAGCCACTGTTGCAGCTCATTGGACTGAAGGAGGAAGTTTAAGGAGGATGTGAGTAAAATAAACCATATGTGTCATGAAACGGGCCATAGGGCCAGTTTCCTGGCCACCTTCACTGCGGTCAGAGAGGAAACACCTGAGCCACAGGCTGTTGTTGCGTGACCCGGATATAATGCTTTATTTGCAAGGGAAGGAAGAGTTGCATATACAAGGAACCCACCTGGAAGTTGTTTGACAATTCCTCCCTCACAATATAGATTTTGACGTTTATGAAAGCACATGAAGTAAACAAGTAAACAAGTCATCCAATCTGAAGATGTCAAGGGAACTATATGAGGTCTCTTTTACCTTGAAATGATTGTGTTGCTGACAAGAAAAGGAAGGACAGAAGTTTGGGGGAAACTACTTTAATAATCAAAAACAACTACAATATTTACATTAAGGAAAATGTAATTCATTGTATTTTGTCCTTAGTATTGGCGAATTCATAAAATCTCATTTTGCCAAGCAATGGCCGAGCACTGATCGTAATCTTGCTTCGTTCTTTGATAGGATAGCTTCAGATTGGATTGGACTATTTTACTCAAAGTTATTTTATGCCTGCTTATGTTTGAACAACATTTATGATTTGAGAACTTTGTCTTCTTTAGAAAAACTGAAAATCTGTTACGATATTAATCAAATGCTCAAACAAATTCAAAAGATACCCAGCTCTATAGTGCAAAGAAATAGATGAGCGGGGCTGCATGTAATGCATCTTATACATGATCAAATCCAAATCTGTTTGGCTGCATGTTCCTCCCTGTCCAGATAAGATGTTTGCTGACAGTCAGGAAACTTAGTGCCCTCTGACATTCTTCTGTCATCTGGAGGTTTTCATGTCAGGCCTGATGTTTGTGATGCATCAGAGAGAGAAATAGATTCAACTCAGATTCCAAAAAGCAATGAAACAGGGAAAATGAAGAAAATCATCTCGGCATAACTTAACTTCTGATAGAGAGGAAGAGACTTGCATATTTTATTCAGTTATAATTTACTGTCATGTCAGCACTTTGAATATTTAAAGAGTTCTCTGCTGTGTTCATACAGCTGATTTCTAACTCTTTCTGTTTGTTCAGTGTCATTTTGACTGCAGTTTCTTTTTATGGTTGTTTTATTAATAAAATCAAAGAGAAAAGCTTTTTTTTACAGTAAGTGATACTTTTAATGTCTTATTTGCAGATATAAAATCAGACCACTAGAGTGTGAAGACGGTGTACTTCTTTATCAGTCGGGAGTGAGATGATGACTCCTGGGTCTAATTTAACGTTCAGCTAGCAGCTTTGTGATTCGGAACAATTTCATCCCAAATGTGACCTCCAACCTGCAGCTGCTTCGACTGCATGTGTCCACTTCCTCCCAGCTGTCAGTGTAGCACCCTTGGATTAGGAAGTGTCTCCTCGGATCAGTCAGCACTGAAACAGTCAGTAAATGAAGCAGCAACAACTGTTTAACTCTGCTGACTTGTGTGTATATATATATATATAGTACACTGTTGATCATCCTTTAAGGGACTCACTGAGTAAACTTTTTTTTTTTTGTTGTGGCCCAAAATGAATCAAACTTCCAAGAAAAGACAAAACATAAATGGACTTGGAATGAAACCACCATAGATGTCATTCCGACTCACACACTGACATTGTTTTGGTTGTAAACAGAAACTGAAGAGATTAAACCTAAACTATGTTACAATTAAACAATTATTATATTTATTGTGTCCTCTGCTATAAATCAATTTGGTTGCTTTGTCAATATCCCAAACAATACTTTGGCTTGTAAAACTTAAATAAATGGTGTACTTTGCCACCACTAGTGCATGTGGGTCCTGTTGTACCAAATTGGCAACATGTTGCGTTTTGTAATATGAGATGATTGCCACTCTTTGACAAGTTTCACTAACAAAATCAAACAACATACTTGCGTTCCAATAGTTAGGTGAGAGTTAGGAAGAGCCCTGTAGGGCTTTTAACTAACTTATATGCAATTTGCAAGCGACAATCATTTGTGAAACGTGATGCTGCCTCCGTTTACGACCTGTGCGTAGGCAGTGCTTGCAAATTGCTTTTGTAAAACAGGCCTTTGAGCGTTAGATTCATTTTTAAATTCCAAATCCGGAGTTATCACTAAGTTGCATGTGAATTCACCATCCCAAGTCAATCAGTATGAACTGAGAGGTAATCGTGACTTCAGGACAAGTCAAGCAGGTTTAAAGTTTATCTTCATTATGCATCAGGTCTATTAACGCTCTTACTGTATATGTGAGAGCACTTATCTCTTGGTCTTATGTCACTTCTCTGTACTGTAGTCATGAGAATAAATGAATAGAAGATGAGATGATTTCATGTTTTTAGATTGGAAAGAAACCGGATCAGGCACTGTGATGATGAAATGTTTTCCTGTTAAACATGCCATTCCCAAACTGTTAAATATGGAATAAAACCACATCAGTCTCTGAACTGTCTACGTAATGTCTTTATATTATCATGTTACATGAAACAGCAACTGTTCGCTTCACAAGGAGACTGATGAAAGATGATAATGAGAAGAATAAAAGGAATCCAATAACTTGAGTTATGACTTTATTACTCGGTGCTTTTTATTACATCATCAGTCAGACATATTAGATTCCTTATGAGGCGGCAACAGGTCAGGGATATAGTATGCAATGTAACAGGTTCTTAGAGTTTTACTAATATTAAAATTAAGTACTAGAGTTGATTAGTTGAATGGCAGAAAGTTAATCTTTAACATTTTGATGAGTAATTAATTGTTCAAGTAATTTCTGAAGTGTTACGTTAGTAAATTGAATATCTTTGGGCTTTTGACTGTTGGTTGGACAAAAGACATCTGAAGACATCGTTTCTGGCTCTGAGACACAAATCACACAATATCATTCATCTGCATCGTTTAAATGTATTAAGACCATACTTTATATAATTCTCAATTCATTTTTTATTGTTCTATTCTAATACAATTATTTTCTATTCATAATTAGAGTTCACACTGTTTGCCTTGCAGCGGTTGAAACATGATGCATGGGGGGTGAACACACCAATGACATGTTGTAAATAAAGTAGAAAATTACTGCATTACCAGTTAAAGCTAAACAATAACTTAATGTTCCTTGCTTTATGTACATATGTGGTTTTAATTCAACTGTGCATATATAGGGCCACTATGTCTTGATTATTGACCTTTTTTTTTTTTTTTTACAGTATGTCCCTTTTTTAAGCAGACTTACGAGTCTGCCAAAGCTGTTAGTACACCGCCATCTAAAGATCAGGAAGTGTCACTGCAGGACTTGCTGTAATTGGTGTTTAAAGTAACTTCGCAGGGCCGCAATGTCTTTGGTTTAAATCCAGCCATGGGCCTCAGTTGCATGTCAATCCCGAACTATCTCGCCCCTCATTTCCTGTCACATCTCTACAGTCAGTTCTCCAATCAAGTCATCACAAAGTTACATTTGCATTGCATTGTGTCACAGTGTGGCAGCTTTTTACAATAGCTTCTTCTGTAATACGTTTTCATATAGTGACGGAGAGGCAGTAATTGAGTCAAACATCCTCACGTCACACATCATTGTAATTAGATATATTTTGTCTCTTCGCCATATCAGAAAATCGGAGCTTATGAATTTTAGACAATTTATTGTAACTAATAATGGTTATAGTAGTTCAGAGATATAGAACACAGTATATCCTTTTAGCAAACCTTTTTAAAACAGTGAAGCTGATCTGAGTTTTTCTACCCAAGCTGAATTAGTCATAGTCTGTGTGAGTCATCCAGTCCTTCTATGTGAGGACATGAGCCAGACGACCACTAATGATGGTAGTATGCTGCAAAGTCGGAGTCGATTTTGTGGCTGGCAATGAGCTGACAGTAACACCAGGTCAAGTACATGAAAGTGGTATTTAAGAGGTGCGTCAGAAACATAACTTCCCTTCCCTTTGTGCATCATATTATGTCAAGTATTTAGATGTTCATTTTGCTGGGTGTTCTCCATCTGTGCTTTTGCTAAGCTTTATGTTTACCTTTGGATTTTGTTTCATATTGAGGACAACAATAACAAGTTAGGATTGTATTAATTTAGATTGAAATTTTGTATAAGTTCAGTGAGAAGTATTATGAGTGCACTATACACTTTGGATCAATCATTGAAATATGACAAATGCAGTGAGACATTTCTTTCTTTATTGCCGATATTAAATAAGAAGAAAGGGAAACTGTGATGTATAACAGAAAGTAAACATTATAAATAGTAGTTCCTGAAAAAGATTATATTTGTATGTCACTCACTGGTGTTTTGTAAAAAGTACTATACCAGCTTGTTAGGGATTTAGACACATTGGTGTTGGATGTAATCACTGAATAACTCTCCCATTAAACAACATGTTTGATAAGGTCGACCTGTCATAGTGATAGTAAAATCAATACTAGTGTATAAACATTGTGTTAAGTTAATAGTACCCTGTACTCTCAACAAAAAATGAATTGTGCATCCTGCTGCCATCTAGTGAGACATGTACAAAAGTGCAGATAGGAACATACTGTATAGCTGGACTATGTAATAGTTTCCAGGGTGTAACGTTTTATTGACTGGTTCCTATTTGCATTGGTAGAGGAAGTATTCAGACACTTTACTTAAGTGAAAGTACA